CTTCAGGGGTCGTTGCAGAGTTTGGGGCTCAGTTTGGTTTTTATTTGGCCATATTTAGAAACATTTTTAGCATTTATATGAAAATCTGAAATATCACTTGGTGTCTGATCACAGTTATGATACAAGAATCAGCTATTTTTGGGCAAATGTCGAAGAAATCGGATAAATTGTTGTTGTCAGGGGTCGTTGCAAAGTTGGGACAAAAAGACTCCCTATGTTTGACTGCAGTATCTTATTTAGATATGTGCTCAACAAGGCTTCAAATCGTATTTTCTGTCTCTGGTTTTTTCTAAAAAAAGCTGAATATTTTGTATATTATATTAATATGAACCCATGAGGACCCACGTGACCCGGCTGTCACATGCACTTTAAATGTTCTGGAAAGTTCCTTATTCAGCTTTAGCCTTGTTTTTATCTCATGAAGTCCCTGAGTGACACACCCTGAACAGTCTGGTGGGTCCTGGTCCAGGTCATGTGATTTAGTGTTGCCATGACAACATGTCCAAGATGTCCATGTGCCAGGCTAACACATGTGACATAACGAGCTACATTTCAAAAGCTTTTTTGTTTGTTGCTAAAGGGAAGATTCAAACCATTTAAGAATTAAAATGCTTACATAACATGTCCTTTATTACATTTAACCTGTTGTGGAAACATTTATTGATCAAATTGATATGAAACAAATGAGATAAACATCGCTGTGACACTGGTGTCACATCGGGACTTCAACCCTATACTTTCACAGTAAACCCAAAGTGACATATATGCACAATTAGAAATATGATTATGTGCTCAGTTAATTTAGCTGATTCAATTATATTGAGTTGATATGTTCTTATTCTTCAATTCAAAGAATGTTCAAACTAATTTAAACCAAAAAATCATCCTCATTAATGAAGTTATAAATAAGAGTGATTTTACCATTAAAGCACAATGGGACATATAGCCTGTCACATTTCAGATATTTGACACTAGGGGGGGTTACTTGGTCTATTTAGTCTAAATGATGTTCCCCTTAATTTTCCCAAAAGTAGAAATGGGTCCTGGTTCTTATGGGTTTTTAAACTGGCTAGGATCATTTGAACATTTTGTTAGCATTAAATGACATTAACAAAATATCCGTTGTGTTGATTTTTTTAACATTGTTTTACTCATAAAAGTTTACAAAAGTATTTATGTAGATATATTTATATTTATATATTTCTGTGTGATTGTACCAATATTAATCCTGTCTCTATATATAACATGTATATTATTTGATTATTTAGGCCGTATTGGGATTTAGAATTGACTGGAAAAAGCCCCAACAATGCAAGCGACCAACGTTCAGCTCTCAGTGCTCTCATGTGCTTAGAATATAACATATATGATAAAAAAACACATGTGACCTCTTAAACTCAAGGGAATTCATAGCTCTTAAAATGTAAACCTAAAGTATACTTTTCAAATGAAGTTTAATTTAAAAGGACGAATTATGGGGAACATGATGCATAAGACATCTTAATATCGCCATTTGATATAAACGTAACACAAAAAGTAAGGACGTTTGTGTTTGTTAGATTATTTCTTTGTTGTAACAATGCTTCTTGGCAAAACATCTTATACCGTTGGAAAGCCTGTTTTCTTACCTTTCCAATGGGGCCACATTTATGAGGAACAAGCATTTGTGGGAGGAGCAGCAGAGCTGAGTATGTCGGTTGTGCCCATGACAAATTTGACAAATCCCCTCTATAACAAATAAATAATCTACCAAACACAGATATCCTTAATTTTTCTGTTAAATTTGTAATAGTTTTCAGCTAAAATTATAATTGTATAGTGCTAGGATGAAAGGAAGTGCATGTGATGCTTTCATGCAGGTAAGATAAAACATACTTTTAAATAAACTAAATGTAATTTAAATACACCATTGAACAAAATGTGTTAAGTGTTATTTACAGAAATTGAAATGTAGATGTCCGGGTTTGGGACAGATACTTCCCAATAGAAAATACCCTATACATGACGTTTTAGTATATATTAAGCTTCACCATCTAATGTAATGCCTTGTGTTTAAATAGAGCATACATATTCTTAGTAAATATATATGTCTGAATACTTTATTGTTTTGTTAAATAGTTGTTCTCGTGGGGACACTGACTAAGAGTTTAAGAGGTGCATGTCTCTTTGTCTCTTCTCTACAGTACAGATATGCCACTGGGCTACATTGATGGAAACTGATGGCTGAAGGTATCGACACACACCTTTTCGATGACGTAGCTCAGCGGTGCTCGTCCGCGGGGGCGAGGCGGCGTCCAGCTCAGAACGATGTACGATTTGAAAACCTCGGACGCGTGGACTTCGGTAGGCTGACCTGGGATCGTTATGTAGCCTAAAGGTCGGGAGTGAACGGGTTGAGGCCGAAATACAAACAGCAGCAGCGGCGGAGGCAGAAATCCCACATTGTGTTTAAGATATTGGACCTGAACAATGTGTTTTTTATAATGTCTTTTATAATTATAAATGAATTAAGAATTTACGGCCAGACTTATTGTTATTTTCATCCAATAAGGTCATCAACAAATCCATTGCCAAAGGAGAAGTGTTTATTTATAGCAAATACATCTTCTTTTTAGTCTTTGTAAAACTTTGTAAAAACTTTAAAAATACTACATCAGTGGTTGGTTGATTCCAGCATCTTTATATGATGTAACCCTTTGATGCACACGCTATGCAAACCCCTTCTAAGGGACACCATGGGTCAACAATGACCCGTATTGACCTACAATGTTATTTCATGCATGGCTGAGTGTTTCTTAGCTGTATTTTTGGAAATCCATTTATTTAATATTCCAAGTATTCATTAAATATCTTGTTTTTGATCACCACACGTCATTCTTTTCAATCAGCCTCTCAACATGTAGGAACTAAAACAATTGTTGTATTAATACATCAGGTTTGCATCATGGGTCAACAGAGATGTTGACCCTTAGAAGGGCAGTGATACAAAAATGATTTTTATTCAAAAAGTAAGAAAGGAAAAATGAAAGTAAGAATTTGTGATGATCAAAAACAAGTTAATTGAGGAATACCTGGAATTCTGAATTATTAAAGTAATTCGTTGCAAAGATATTTACAATGAAAACTCACTCGGGTCACTTTTGACCCATGTTGTGTATCAAAGGGTTAAATATATCCAAGCTAACATACTCAACTAGTCTTAGCCAGAAATCATATTTCTCTGGTGTTTCTAAAAAGCTGAATATTCTGTCAGTTTCTAAGCTAATATTGTACTGGCTGGGATCATTTGAACAAACATAAAATCCTTATTTTTGTTATCATTAAATAATTTCAACAACATCTCCATTGCCACAGGAGAGGTCTTGATCTTTTAGGGAACTAAATCCTTTTTTCAAATTTGACTAATAATGAGAAAGTGTTAAAATCCTACATGTTGTGTTTTTTTTTACAATGTTTTTCATAATATATTATGAATAAAAATACGTTTCGTTTCAAAAAACGACATCAATGGTTGGTTGCAGTATTTTTTAAACTGATATATTCTAGTCTGTAGTTCTGAGTGGTGCAGGTTGAGCAACATATATTTATTAACTGCTTTGAGCATTAGGAAAAGCGCTATAAAAATCCCATGTTTTATTAAAATGACTTAGCTCAGGATTTGGATAAATAACAACAGGATCATATTTCAGATTTAAAAGCAATGTGAGAAATTACATGAAGCTTTTGGGAAGAAGTAGGCACAGAGAGAGTTTTGGATTTCCCTTTATTCTCTAAACGACTAACTTGGCGATAGTTGAATTAAAATGTGGGACTTCTGCAACAGCCTCGTTTAAAATCACATCAACGCAAAGGTGTTTAGTTTGTGTGTTAAAGGTTTGTTTTAAAGAGGAGAGACTCGGCACACTTCAAGTGGTTTAATTGATAAAAAGCACTAAAACCACTTCAGTCGATTATTGTATTAAAGAAAGAGACGGGAGTTAAATGAAGACGGCACCGGAGCAGTTAGGAAGGAGGGGGCGGGTAATAGTTTGTGTCGGGAAAATATCCACAAGAAAGGAAGAAAAATTAGTTTTGAAGTGACAGCGGGAAAAAAGAGATCAGTGTTTGTGTGTATTTTAGTTTTGTAATAGACTCATGTTTAGATGTCAACCTGTGAGGGAAGATGTGGTGTTTGGTGCTATCACTGACATCCAATAAAGAGATTAGTTTGACCTTATGTTAAACCTGTATGGAAAGATATGATGTGATGTTTATATACTTCCTTCCTGAAGAAATATATGTCATTTCAAAATGTTGATGTGGATACTGGCTTGGTGAGTGGTTGAGAATGTTTTATATAATGCCATGTTTCTTCTGACAAAGTGCACCCTGAGACAAAATCTGCACAATTAAAATCTCAAATCCTGACGTAATATTTAAAAAACAACTTTAAGAAGAAAGTGTGAGAAAATAATCCAACTTTTTCCTCAAAATGTGGACTTTCCTCTGGAGACTGTGATGGTTTTTCTTTGTTAAAATTGGAAAAATCACATCAAAAAACTTGAAAAACCACCTAAAAATACATCAGAATTTTTTTTTTTTATGTGGTTTTTCAATTTGTAGTCATATACATAGAGAGGACATACCCTCCATTGAGCAGAAGAAGGTGATTTGTCTTTATAAGATATAATAAAACATATGTGATGTAGTGCGACAGCCCCTATGATGATGTCGGTGGATAAGAGTGAGGAATACATGTCCACAACTCCACTTTTTAAATGTTGAATGTAAAGTTATTATGTTGTTGAAGAGGTTTGGAAAAGAGGGACACACATTAGTATTTCTTTCAGAATCCAAGAAGTAATAAATATCTGATCCCAGATCACGCTGTACCTTCCAGATCATCGTCATGGATCAGAATGTCGTATCTCCCTTCGATTTTAATCACTGTTGCAGGAAAGGACAACAGCAGATCTGTTAGAAGACATCGCTTCCTCTCCGCATCTGGATGTTTTATTTACCTTCATCGGTACCTTGCAGCCTCTCGCTCTCGGCGGCATCGAGGGCGGTCACTTTGTCCGACTTTCTGGACGGCCTGCTGATCCCAGAGCTGTTCACGGCTCGGACCCTGAAGTGGTACGAGTTCCCGACCTTCAGGCCGTGGACCGGGTATTTACAGATCTTCACCGGGGCGTCGTTGCACTGGACCCAGGCGTCGCTGCCAGACTCACGCCTGAACACAGAGGAGATCATTTAATTCAATAGAAATGCAGGAAAATCAAACTTTCATGTCTAAACATCGACTGAATTTAATGATAACTGAACTACGAAAAGTATTCAATCTAGTATTAGTATTTAGTGTCAGGGTTAAACTGTAAGATGAAAGAGGGTAAAAGGATGTGTAGACTTGCCGAGTTGTTGATAATACTTCACTTTAAGTAAACCATTTCACATTACACTGATTCATTTGATCTAAAAATATTGATGCAGCTTTATATAAAGAGACTATGAGTACTTATAATAATATAAAGTGCAGTGTAATTTGATTGTGTTAATGTCGCTGTTTTATAAAAAAAACAGCCTTCAGACGGACCTGTCCACGAATTTCCTAAATTGGGATCAATAAAGTATCTATCTATCTATCATTCAGTAAAATTGATTTAAAAAAAGGATTAAATGGCCTTTAAAGGTCCCATGTCATGGCCATTTCTACTGATCATAATTCCATTGTTGAGGTCTACTAGAATAGATTTACATTGTTCAATGTTCCAAACTCACATTGGTTCCTCATACAGCATCTCTGTATAGTATGTGTATTCACTCTCTGTCCTAAACGGCTTGTTGGAGCTCCTGCCCCCCCCCTCCCTGTGAGCCCACTGTGCTCTGATTGGTCAGCTCGCCCACTCTGTTCTGATGAGTCCACCACCGTTACAGCGGAACACCAGTGATTATGTGTTACAATGGCGTTTGTTAGCAACCAGAAAATGACACCAGTAATGACAAACAGATGAGAATGCTGCGTGGGGTCTGGGTGCCGTGTTGGCGGGACGTTGCGCGGCTCACTGCTGCGAGGACCAGACAGTGTGAGCTGGGTTACTGGTGTTGTTTCCTGGTTGCTGTGTGGGGTCTACGAGACAGCGAGACACCGCGAAACTCAGCCTGAGCACAATCACACACTCACAGCCTGAGAAAAGATAAGGCTGAGTGAGTGTGTGTGTGTGAGGAGCTCCACGGATTGGTCCATTTGGACAAATTGGTCCATTTGGTCGTCGTTACGTCACTTAGACCAGGAAGAAAAAAATTGAAAAATAAAGATTTCCAACGAGGCGTTCTGGGGCAGCATAGACAGGTCTTTTCTGTGTTAGAGTTTTACTCGCTACAGGGTGTACTTTGAGGGTTTGTGACTCTGCAGACCTTTTACATGCAGAAAAACCTACATAACACACAAGGGGACGGGTAATAACCGGAAAAGCAAGACATGGGACCTTTAAATCAGCAGATTGGTGATAATCCTTCAAATGATATTGAGTCATTTGGTCTAAAAATATGAATGGGTTCAGCTCTAAATAAATACTATGACTTCATACTTTTAATAATTTAAATTGCAGTGTAATCTGACTGTACTCGTGTTCATGTGCTTTGAGTTTTCAGGGACTCACCTGTCCACGAAGTATCCGCTGATGGCCGCCTCGTTGACGGTGTTCGGGGGTTTCCAGGCCACCAGCACGTAGTCAGAGTTGATGTCGTACGCCTTCACACTCATCGGGGCACCAGGGGCACCAGAGACAGGGGCCGCCGCATCTGGGGAGCAAGGAGATAAGGATATAAGGTTGACATTGTGTTTATTCATTATTATAATTGCTAAAATGTATGATATATTATCATTATTTTGGGTAACATCACACTATTGTTTCTAAAAAGAATCTCAGCTGATAAATTGCAAACATAACAATTCTGCTTTTATACACATACAACAGTTTATTGTTGTTTACATAATGAAACTTTATATATATGAACTATTTGTTCTAAACTGTGGTTTCAGTTGTTATGGCAATTATGGTATTGAAGCTTAATACAGTGTAATCCTAATGAAATGTAAGTGGTATCCTGGGAATGGCATATAAATGTATGAGTGATAACAGATGTGTTCATGAAGGGTTTTATGACACTACTGGAAGGACAGGCGACATTTGCTCTAGGGGGGTATCTGCATGTGATCCAACGTGGTGTTGATTTATAGATATTAAAAGCTCCATGATGCAGAGATGCTTCCCACCTGAGACGAACAGGTAGGCGCTGTGCTCCGCGGTGCCGTCCTTGGTGAAGATGCGCAGCGTGTAGAGACCCTCGTCGTCTTTGGCCAGCTGAGGCAGCGTCAGGCGGGCAGATCCCCCCCCCACAGACATCTCTGCCAGAGCGCTGGGCTTCAGAAGCTTATCTGTAGAGACACAGTGAGGAACAGAAGAATGCAACTGATTATTTAATGTTTAATGTTGTTTTTATAGGCAATAATTTAAGCTTTGTTAGTTCCAGGTTTAATATGTGCAATAAGTTCATTTCAATAAGTTTTGCAATAAACATTGAACCAGTCCGGCCCTCGACTAGCACCGATTATTTAATTTTGGCCCACTGTGTATTTGAGTTTGACACCCCTGATTGAGACATACAAGCCAAGCTATTTAAGCTAACAGAATTAGCATATGTTTTACTCGTGATGGTTTTTGTCCCATCTTAAATGTATGCCACGTTTTTGTATACATGTATATGTTAATATTTAAGCTCTAGTTTAGATGTTTTATGTGAGGCTCGGAAGACATACAGTATTGATGAGATAAGATAAGTATATGATAAGAAGTACTTTATTGATCCCAATTTGGGAAATGTTTGGGTTGCAGCAGCATAAAAAGACATGGCAATAGCCAAGTACTTTGCCGTACTTAGTTCCCAGCACTTAGTGCCCCCATGGAACTAAGAGCAGATCGTGTTCACACCGGAGTACTTTTCCCTGAGGGAGGACTAGGCAAATGAAGCCGCTGACGTCACTTCTTCTTCTTCTGCTTTGGGTTTACTGGCAGGCCGCAAACCACTTCACGGCGTATACTGCCACCCGAAGTCCCCGGCCGGAAGTCCCCGGAGTTGGGGACTGGCTTCAGTAGAAGCTGCTGGGACTCCCAGCAGCTACTACTGAAGCCTTCCGAGTAAATCGTCAGAACGCCGACACCTCCTCATCTCCACCGCTCCCATGTTTTTTTTTGTGTTGCCATAAGTTAGTCTCTTTGCGTTGGTGCGTGGGGCTAATGCTATTGCTAATAATGCTAATGCCAGCAAATACAATGGCGGCTTCACAAAACTTTTCAGAGTTTTACGGGGCGTGGTTTGCAATTCGCCCAGCCAATCAGAAATTGGTATTTTTTTCTCCCCAGGATAGTCCCACCTCTCTAGCAGGGACTGAAAATGGGGGTAAAAGTTCTCTGAACTAAGTTCTCTTTTTGGTGTGAACGCAAAATTCCAGGAACTATCAGAACTAAACGGGAAAAGTACGGGTAAAAGTACTCCGGTGTGAAAGCGCCTAATACAATTTAGAATTGGCCCTCAGCAAATTAAAAAAGTATAATGGCCCACAAAAGAAACTTGTGCTTACATATTAAATGTAAAAATATATCACACAGTAGTGTTCATGTGTTAAGAAGCCCACTTTTCAAATACATTCAGTCAATTCAAGTTGGAAACATTTTCTAACAAATCTTAGTTGATAAGAAAAAAGCCCAATAACTTATTTCCATAACAAGCTTGAAATATACCCTTCCTATTTCTCCTTATTACAATCACTCTGAGGCTTCTGTTTTAAGGAATGAGCTGCCAACACTCACAAGCATAACTTACCTACATTTGATTGATTTTGCTAACTTATAACTGAACTTATGAGGCAATAGACCTCACCTCTAGTGAGTGGCCCAGCCCTTTTTTCTGTATGTGTCCCTCGGTGAAAAAAGTTTGGACACCCCTGGTTTAATGTGATAAATGTAAAAAATCTATAAATACATGTTAACGTCTTACCGTCTCGGTACCACTGGACAAGGGGGGGCACGTTGGGCAGGTCTGGGACCACCACCATGGAGCAGACCAGGCTGATGCAGCTGCCCTCCGTCCCAAAGCTGACGGAGAAACGGTCCAAAAGACTGACCTCCAGCTTACTGGCATGGATCTCAGTCAGGTGGGGCACTGAGCAGGGAACATGGAGTTCATCATTTTAATACATATTCACTGAAACAGAGTCTATTTGTTTTGTCTTTTTTAAGTGTTTTACTTTTATGTTAAATATATTGTATGTTGCAATGTAGGAGGAGCCTGAGACTTAAGATTTACCTTGCCAAATGTCCGCAGTAGCTATCGTACGTACAACTAATTAAGCCTTTGAATCTTTGAATGTGGATGTGGTATTTTAAAAATGGTCATTTTGTTACATTTATAATGCAAGGTAAACGTTTCTGTTTCTGACATTTCTGTGTTAAAATCTGAAGGGAATACACCTTGAAAACTAGTCAAGAAAGCCAGAGATCCTATAATCAGTGGCTTTAAATACATCCACATAGTATAAATTATAATAATGAATGTAACATGTAGATTTAGTATTGAAAAAAGGGTTAAAAAAAACACCAATAAAAGACAATTTTGGGGATAAAACATCGCACCTAGTAATCATGAGACATCTGTTTAGGAACTGCTTTCTTTACTTAAACCTCAACATTGTTTTGATTTCAAGAAAATGAAATCATTGACGTGTATTCTCCACCTGTTATTGCAATATATCGTATAATTTTATATTCGGGATTGTTGGAAACGTCATTTTGATCTCTCTGTCTGTAAACACAAACTGAGTAATATTGACATTAAAGTTGACTTTCACTTGACTTTGAATATGACTTCTTGTCAAATTTTACAATATATGGACTCATAAGGAATCTAATTATTGTGTTTCAACATTTTAAATCATTGACTGGACAAAGAGTGGTATATATGTTAACAAAGTACATTGTAAAGTGTTTGGAGCAGAGACTGATGGTACATTAAGGCGGAAACACGTTAAACATTGTACATTTCCTTTCCATAAACACATTAAGTGTGTAACTAGATCTTTCAGAGTGTTTACTATGAGCAGAGGTCCTTGTTTGTATGTGTCTGTGTCTGGACGAGGACAAAAGCTTCTCCTCTTTATCCCCCTTATCATCACATGCTCTGCTCTTTGTTGCCAAATGATCCCATGAGTTTGAACTGATGGTGTCTGGGCCTGAGTCCAATAAAACATTTAAAAAAAGGCCCTCCTTCAGCATATCTTTCAGCTACTTCCCTCTCTCTCTTCTCACCTAAATTGAGCTGGCAGGACACTGCGGTCCCTGCTGCTCCTGTGAAGACAAACACAATCATGATTACAGAGAGAATATTATAATATCTGAGTGATACAGATAAATATAAACCAGTTTAAAGTCTTACTCTTCACGGTGACGGTAGCCTTGCTGGTGGCGGTGCCGTGAGGGTTTGATGCCACAGCGCTGTACTCAGCCGTATCGCTCACTGCACACCTGCAGGGGCAAAGAGCATGGGGAAATGACCTTACACTACAAAATCTTGAAATCTTGCCAAGTATCTTTGTCTAATATCTAGTCAGAATATGTCTCTACACCTGCTATAAGACATGATAACTTCAGAAGTAACACTGCAGTGAGATATCGGGTCTTGTTTTTAGACAATGCATCATCTTGTTAAGTCAAAATATCTTATTTTGAGTCGTATCTCAGATGAAACACATATTTTTTTTACATATTTATTAGAAAATCACCAACTAACATCAGAAAACAGAAAACCTTTGAGCATTTGCTGCTTATATTGTAACACAGCATTTCCTGATTCTGGTCAAATATAGTTCAAAATGAGTTCTCCCAGATAATTACAAGATCTGGTTTATCTAAATATCCCTTCTTATTTCAAGAGATCTTACCAAGCCAACTTTCCCTTGTTCTATTGGCAGATTTTTGTACTTATTTCAAGTGAAAACGGCTTGTTTTCATTATTGTTTAACTTGTTTTTGGAGCAGCAATTTGTCCAGTGTATGTACATAAAACAAATATATAAATGTATGTAACAATGTACAACCATAACTTTCCGTTTTTTGTAAAATATATTGACTTTATCATTTAGGAATGATGCTTCCTTAAAATAAATGCAGCCTTGGTTAATTTAATATAAAAATGTTTACACTAAAGAGTTGGATCGAGCCAATACAGAACATGTGATAAGGATAGATAAACACTACTTAAGGGGAAACAGGGTTTTCAAAGACTAAAGATTGAAATGGAGATTTTCTGATCATACATTAAGGCAAATTAGCTCATGGTGTAATCATTTCACAATATTCCAAAAAGTGTTAAAAAATATATTTTACTGTTGAAAATAGATGTTGGTTGTGTTAAAGGTGGGGTAGGTAAGTTTGAGAAACCGGCTCGAGATACACTTTTTGTTATATTCCATGGAATGCTCTTAACATCCCGATAGCAATGAATATCTGAAGTGCTTTGACAAAAAATCCATAAAAAAATTTCATCTGTGGAAGCTGTAGAACTGTAAAAAGCACGACCAGTCATCTGAGCCGGCCCGGCTAAAATAACTGGATGGCCTACCTGCCTGTCAGCCTTCCATCTGTGCACAAACTTATCTCGTGCCCTCATTGGTCATGTGCGCGTTCGTGTGTGTTGGAGGAGGGGCTCTGTAAGGAAGTGGCAGATTTTCTCCGGTTGTGTATTTTCAAATTCTAGCGCACTCGAGCCGGTTTCTCAAACTTACCTACCCTACTTTTAATGGTTGGGGAAACACAATATAATGAATGAATTATTTGAATAAAAAACTAAAAATGTAATCAGGCGAATACTTAACCATTTTTGTTGATAATAGTTGTTGGTAAACTAAAATACTTAATGACTTGTAATGTTCGCTCTTTACTAAATGGAGCACTGTCTTTGACTGTATTGTTTTTGATTGATGTTCAATTGTAGTTTCTACCATTGTCTTGGTATGATTGAATGATTGAATGAAATCAAAGAGTTGTACAAAGAGTATGTACCCAAAAAATAACCCAACACATGTGATCGACGAGGTGAACCAAAGGAGGAGAAAGCTGTAATCGTATTTGAATATTGGAGGTTTGGAAACAGAGTTTTTAAAAGTAGGAATATTCCTTTCTATCCTCAATGGACATTTTGAACTAACAATTGGCGGCATATCCATATTTATAAGAACACAACTCATCCTTTCTTCAACAACACCACAGCGGCTCTTTAAAGGCAGCTGTAAACTCCTTGAGTCAATGTTTGATTACAGCATAAGACATCATGCTCTGCCTCTTTAGAAAGTGATCTCACATGTTGGGAGCGTTTAAAGGAAGGTGTTCTGAGGCAGCAGGGCGAGAATAGAAGGAAGACATGTGACCTTCAGCCTGGACTGAACTATTTTAAAAGACGCTCCATTCGACCAGCTGTGGGGGAAATTCACTCAGTCTGGTCTTCTTCTCATCGAGGTATTTCAATGGGTCGCTAAACCAGAATTAATATACTTTTTCTACAAAGTAAGGCACCTAAATGACAGTCTCCTTGGTGACCCTGTAATGCAATGACGGAGGAGCGGAGATATTCAATGCCACAGATATAGAGGGAGAGGGAGAGGGAGGGATTCATGGCTCAAATGACGCAAATGTCAGCACTTCCACACGAACAGCTGAAGAGTCTTGAAGATGACGAACAGGCAACAGGCCGGTCGTTCCTCTTCAGTTCAACAGACCTTTCTATATCTCTCTAGCCACGGACATTTGAAGTTTTGTCCCCAAAAGTGTAGAAAAAACGCGGAAATATTTAACATTAAACAGTCATAGATTATTAAGCTTGGCATTAGTTGTCTTGTAGCCCCTTCTGCTCCTTTCCTTTCCCTCTTGTGCCAAGTTTTTCATATTTTACAAATCCTTACTATGGCATTTGCCACTTGATTGACGTACAGGTAAGCAAGTCTGAGATCTCGGCCGTTTCTCAATGTCGAGTAAACCTGCTGCAGAGCCACTTTTAAAGTATACTACGTCATCGAGTGGCGCCGAAGGACTGTTTAAATGCCCAGCATTCGGCGCCACTCGATGACGTAGTATACTTGAAATAGTGGCTCTGCAGCAGGTATACTCGACATTGTGGGTGTTTCTCAATCGCGAGTAAAGCTGCTTCAGAGCCACTATTTCAAGCATACTACGTCATCGAGTGCCGCCGAAGTACTGTTCCAATCTCCAGCATACTTGGAAATCTACCGAGCCCGGCGTACTCCGTTTGGAGAAATATCGAGGCTGCACATGAGTAGACTCCGCGGTCTTAAAATCCCCACAATGCTTTGCGCACGGACCAATTTCCCCAAATCTGTGGCGGAAGATGTAAGAGGCGGGGCCTCTCATATGACGCACACCTGCACACTTGCTAGCCTGTTCCACTCTTTGTTTTCCAAATGTCAGGAAGTATTCTTGACTCGCTTCTGAAGCAAGATGCTCGGCAGACATGTGCTACCAAGCAAGCGTACTCGCGATTGAGAAACACCCTGAGAAACGGCCCTCATCTTTCCTAACACGCAGTTCACCACGCATGCGCCGTCAACTGCAAATCACCGGCGAGCTGATTACCTAGTTACCCTTCCAATTTATACAATTCTACTAAAGAAAGGGTATAAAATTGACATGTACTGAGTTGGATTGTGCCATACGGGTTCATGCAGTTATGCAAGGTACACCAACATAAGGCACTCAGTATATATATAAATACATATATGTTTAGCATTTCTAATGTAGGTAGATCATTTTGACTTTTAAAAGTAGCTCCCAAGCTGAAAAGGTGTGGGCATCCCTGCTGTGGACAATACCCACAGGAGCAAATATATATTATATCCATGTCTTGTTAAAGTTTTGTATTTTATTTAACACTCTTTAATTTTTCTTCCCTGTGGCTTTTAAAAATAATGTCATTATGTAAAGCAACTTGAAAAGCCTCTGCATTGAATTTTAAATAATAAATTCAATGCAGAAATAATTCTTAACATATTGTTTGGGGAAGGAAACCAAACCAAATCATAATATGTTATTAATAGGTATACAACATCGCTTTGAAAGACTGGTTATATACAGACCCTCTCATTTGGAGAATGTTGACATTATCATCAGTACTATTATGTTCTTGGAAACTCTTTAAATCAAAAAACTGCCGTGTTTCTACAGAACATTCAGTTTTGTTTCTGAAGTAGTGTTGCTCCTTACCTGCTAATGATCAAACTGTGGACTCCATACTTGTTTTCAATCTTGTACTTCCCTGGGGCGCTCAGTGGGTCGACGGGCGCACCTCCTTTATACCTGCAAACAGAAAGTGTTTTTTAAACATCTACACACTGTCACGGTAAACTGGTAAAATCTGAATTTGTCTGGCAGAGAAATAACTTCATGATGGTCCACCTGACAATAAAGAGAGATATGTTGTGTTTTTAAATAGCAGCAGGTATTTACAACGTGATGACAACTGGGAAGGTATGCTGCACATTGTTGGTTGGTATAAAAAGGATTACAGGAATGCTAACCATGCTAACAAACGCTAACAATGCTAACAAACCTTTTTTGGGGGAGGATAAAAGCATTAATACTGTATGTCATCCGAGCCTCACATAAAACATCTTAACTAGAGCCTAAATATTAAGATATACATGTAGCTATACAACAACGTGGCAAAGATTTAAGATGGCACCAAAACCATCATGAGTAAAACATATGCTAATTCTGTTAGCTTAAGTAGCTTGGCTTGTATGTGCAAATTGGTCTTTTGTAGTAACATTTTCAAGATTTAAAGAAATGTCATGAACTGGAGTTACCTTACTGATTAAACTTGGATGTTCTAAGTTAATAGCTGTTGGGGGAAATACTGAATATGTACTCTTCCAATATGAGAGTACACATGATAACAAAGGTATCCCAACTGACAACCCAGTCTCACGGCATTTCGTGTTATTAGTCACAAAATTAATTTAATCTATTGATTCGTGTTCACCAACACGATTTTCGCATTTTTTTCGTGTCACACAGAACGATTTTAAAAGCAATGTATTTCTATTAGGGCTGTCAAGTTAACGCGTTAATAACGCGTTAACGCAAAAAAAAATTAACGCCACTAATTATTTTAACGCGATTAACGCATGTGTATTTTTTGTCCTCGGCCGCCGTAGTTTCAGAGCGCATCGAGTTTAAAATACCATCTACAAGCTGATGCTGACAGCCCCGCTCCTGCTGCCCGCTTGTGGCAGACCACACTTCCACGCTCACCGGCAGGCCCGGACTGGCCATCGGGAGGACCGGGAGGGTGTGTGTATGTGTGGCGCGAGCGAGGCACACCTTACGTGTTGTTGTTAGCATCTGGTGCTAGCTAGCTGAGCTAACGGATATAAGGAGCTGTTTCAATGAAAACAGAGGAGCGACATTTCGCCGACAACTGCGCCGAGCACTTGACTTTATGCAGGTAGCCAGACAGCACACTCAGCACGGATAGTGCCGCAACACAGCTCATACACACAGACATATATGCCTTGAGCTGCACATAGCTCCAACGATCCTCCACATTCACACACACACACACACACACACACACACACACACACACACACACACACACACACACACACACACACACACACAGTATTGTATGAGAGAGGTTCTAGGTTGAATTGAGGCGAATATTTGTAATGTTCAGGTTGTTGTGTTTAATATTCATGAGAATATTTGTCATTGTTCAAATGATAATAAACAAACATATAAAGCATAGTTGTCCACTCATATGTTGATAAGAGTATTAAAAACTTGAAAAATATCCCTCTAAGGTACATTTAGAACAGATAAAAATGTGCGATTAATTTGCGATTAATCGCGATTAACTATTTTAATCGACTGACAGCCCTAATTTCTATTGGTAGTATGTTTCGTGCCTGCAACACGTCTTTTTGTCCGGTCGGGTCTTGGAAGACCAGAAGCTGTGTGGTTCATAAAAACATGTTCTTACTCAATATCTTACCCTAAGCCTAACCCTATCCCTTTTATTTTAAATTGTATAATGTCGGAGTTTTTTTGCCGTCCGCGAGGAAAAGAAATGGCTCAGAGCCTCAGAATACTGACATCTGTATTTTTTGTCATCTCTTTTTCCTTCTAATTTGTTATTATTTGGTGCAGGCACGAAACATACTACCAATATAAATACATTGCTTTTAAAATCGTTCTGTGTGACACGAAAAAAATTGCGAAATCGTGTTGGTGAACACGAATTCATAGATTAATTTCGTGACTATAACACGAAATGCCGTGAGACTGTGTTGGTACATGCTTTAAATGTGTTGTCTCTAAACTGAGTTGAACGCACTCCAGTGAAATGTGATTTTTCTGACCATTTGACGACGGGCCTGGGGTTTCCCTCCACGGTACAGAACAGCTTGACGGGGGTCTTCTCCCACACGGTGTGAGGTCGAAGAGCCACCAGGAAGTCCGGCATCTTCTGGGTTTCTGATGGATTCACCTTCTTATACATCATTTCCTTAACCTGGAGAGAGAGTAGAGTGGGTCAATTGAACGTATGTAGCACAGAGAAAATAAGACTTCATCTTAAAGCTCTTATTTGCCAACATCAAAATGTACCAGATGACATAACTATCAACAAATCTAACACAATTAAAATAGTTCCTCCATCACAGCAGCTCAATTTGCAACATCATAAAAGACATATATTTAAGGCAAGAAACAGGAAAACACACATTTGACATACCATTATAATTGCACAAGACCTTTTAACTCTGTGCTTATTTTCTGTGGGACCCTGTATCTCTGATTTAATGATGAAACATGTATATTTTCATTTCAGGACACGACTGGGCTCAGAGATGATGTTGTTGGCCAGCCTAATTGGTTCCATATAAATAACCAAACACTGATTAAACCCCTCCAGACGCCTCACCTCTCTCTGCAGGTTCAGCCTCTCCACCTGGGCCTTGGTGGCCATCCTCATCCTGTGGAGCTCCTCCTGGATCACCGTCAGTCCTTTCCCAACATTCGTGCTCACTCTCTGGTACTCCTCCGTTCCATCTTCTGCGCTCCTGCACACACACAACTCACATTAATACAGTTTTACACAGGAAACCAACTCCAAATATATAATTAAACATGCTCCACTCGACAACAGAATGATATGTGGGGTGTAATCGAAGAGAAGCAGATATTTAGAAGGCAATTGAAGTTTTAAAATGATAAAATGATTGTTTAAAATAGTTCAAGAACAAGTACAAAACTTCCTAACAGCTTTTTCTATCCCAGCATAATATGAAACATCCTAAACAGGAAATATGAAGGCACAACATCTACAAACAGAGGAAACACAAGAAGATGTACTGTACTATAAAACATGTGGTGATTAAGTAAACTACTGTTTTGATTACACTTGGTTGTTGTAAGTTAAATGAACCATTACAGTACATGTGTTTTTGCTGATTGAAACTCTAAACAGAGGGGTTTTCTTTATACACTATTAATCTGGGAACCAACTCCAAACACATTTTGTATCTATTATATTTAAACATGACTAATTTCAGTGGCACTTGGTGTCAAACACAAGTACATTTAGACGTTTGTTTCATCCTGTACAGACTTTTTATTCAATAAGTTCTGGAATATTTAACATTTGCATTTTATTTGCAATATTTTTCCCTAGATAAGGATGTTCCATCAACCCAACAGAGTTAATTTAACACATGTTATAGACTAACAAGCTCTACAACCCCCTAATCACCACTTACACACATAATTACCATCATTTAAATATGATCAGATACAGTAGTAACACAGAAGTAAAGTGCCGTCCTGACTCGGTGCAGCTAGAAGAGGCTTCAGTATTACCTTACACCTAAAATAGCCTTTTTACTTTGACTTCTTACATTTAGAACACAAATACCTGTACTTTCTACTTCTTACATTTAGAACACAAATACCTGTACTTTCTACTTCTTACATGTTGAACACAAATACCTGTACTTTCTACTTCTTACATGTTGAACACAAATACCTGTACTTTCTACTTCTTACATGTTGAACACAAATACCTGTACTTTCTACTTCTTACATGTTGAACACAAATACCTGTACTTTCTACTTCTTACATGTTGAACACAAATACCTGTACTTTCTACTTCTTACATGTTGAACACAAATACCTGTACTTTTCTACTTCTTACATGTTGAACACAAATACCTGTACTTTCTACTTTTTACATGTTGAACACAAATACCTGTACTTTCTACTTCTTACATGTTGAACACAAATACCTGTACTTTCTACTTCTTACATTTTGAACCCAAATACCTGAACTTTCTACTTCTTACATTTTGAACACAAATACCTGTACTTTCTACTTCTTACATGTTGAACCCAAATACCTGTACTTTCTACTTCTTACATGTTGAACCCAAATACCTGTACTTTCTACTTCTTACATGTTGAACCCAAATACCTGTACTTTCTACTTCTTACATGTTGAACACAAATACCTGTACTTTCTACTTCTCACATTTTCCAAACAGGCTGGTTCCTTTAGTTTGAATGTGTGTTTGGTGGCGTGATCATTATTATTTAGAGTCATTGCGTGCCTATTGATTTGAACACGATCCGTGTATCCATCATTTCCTGGTCTTCTCTAAAGAAGAGGGACCAATGAAAACGTTGTCATGTTGCCGTTGTTCAGCATGGAAACATTCATTAGCTAACAATGACATTATTGTTCTATTAATATAAAGGGAGGTCAGGTACTCTTTAAAACAGCTGGTAGTTATGGGTACTTTTTACTGAAGTACATTTCAAAGCCTCTTTACTTTTACTTGAGGAAAGAAGTTTAGTCAGTACTTCTACTTTCACCAGAGTATTTTTAAACACGAGTATCTGTACTTCTACTTGAGTAAAGGTTGTGTGAACTTTTGCCATCTCTGCTGACATTATGACGGCCAATAGGAACTCACCTCTGCCTAAACGCAGGTATGGTATAGCCTGGTTCTGCCATAGCCGCTGTGGCCTGGCTCTCCGAGATACAGCTGGATTGCCTGTTGGGAGGAAATACACGGTTATATTTCAGCCATTTAATAAACATTCAACCGTCATTTTGAAAACGTTCAGGTTTTAGTTTTGCAGAAGCAGGTTAAGATCTACCTGAGGAGTTCTTGAGTTTTAGGGAATTGTTCAGTAGCACATGAGGGCCTCCTTGTCTGTTATATATTATTGAAGGTTTTAGTTTAGCAGAAGCAGGTTAAGATCTTTTTTATGCTCTTAACCTTTTTCATATTACCATATTTTATTCAATATGCTCCATAGATAGCTTTTTATTTTATTGTATTTTCTCCTCATAACATTGTGAAGCACCTTGAGATGACGTTTTTTTTAAAGTGTGCTATATAAATGAAATGTATTATTATTATATTACCTGAGGTGTTCTTGAGTTTTAGGGAATTGTTCAGTAGCACCATTTTAGCACATGAGGGCCTCCTTGTCTGTTATTTATTATTGAATTGTCTTTTGTAAAGATAGACAGAATATGCACACGGTTATATATCAGCCATTTAAACAACATTCGACCGTAATTATGATACAAAACTTTAAGGTTTTAGTTTTGCAGAAGCAGGTTACTGCGCTAAAATCTCTGAAGATCTACCTGAGGTGTTCTTGAGTTTTAGGGAATTGTTCAGTAGCACATGAGGGTTCTCCTTGTCTGTTATATATTATTGAAATGGCTTCTATGAAAGATAGACAGAATATGGTGCCAATCCATTTCAATTTCTACACCTAACTTGTGAATCTTCCTCATCATTGTCTCTCCTTTACACTGTCAAATATCTGTTTTACCTATTAAGTATCCTGTAAGATCCATTATTATATGACTGTTATCTTTCTAAAGTGCAAAACACTTAAAGGAAAGGCAAACTCAAACAAAACCTCAACATCTGCTCATGAAAGCAACCTGAAAGTTATGCATATCTTAATGAATTCCCCTTTAACACAGCTGATATACTGATATACTGTACGCTGCAATTTAAAAGGAGCACAGCTAAATCTATTGAGATACGTTTGATAGTGGTTACTGTCTGGGAGAGAAATTTGGTGATAATCAGGGACATAGACAAAGATGTCAAACAAAAACCTTATATTAAGTCGATCAAATTGGTAGAAAGTTGACATTGTGTGTAAAAATGAACCATTGACACTCGGTCCAACTATGTCCACAGTATCTAGAGATCTGACCACTGGCATCAGATGTAGGTCAGGTTATTGGGAGTGACGTGCAGACATAAGAAAGGGGAGAACTTCGTACTAAAAGATCTGATGAACTACGCTTTAGGTGCAGATGAAGCCAATTATCTAGTGACAAAAAAAAGCAGCCTTCAAGCATCAGCGTGTGACATGTCGAATAGCAGAGCTGGATTAAAAGCCATGAAGGATGAAGTCTTTCAAAAAAGCAAGTAGAATAAACCCGTCCATTATGATTAACAACACCAGACAGAAGCTGCAGAGCATCAGCAACAGTATCTGTAGACCTTCACAGCTTCTGGGTAAAAACCCCCTGGGGATCGCTTCAAACATGGACCAGGAATGCCAACACACAGCGAATGTTATTATATTCTGCAGAGCGTTTTCACTTGTTTTGGAAGCACCACTTGTTCTCTAAGCTGTGCATCGAGTACATTGAACACACATTAAGTTATCTTTCTGATTTCCACTTAATCAAGGTTATATGATTATGGATGCATGTGTATTCCAACTGAACACCACAAAAGGAAGTATTAACGTTGATGAAAAGTGGATTTTTCTTGCAGGAATTGGCTAACCCTAACCCTAAATCTTAGGGGAGATTTTCCTTACATCATGCAATGGTCTAAGCACAGAACGTGTTGCATGACTTCGAGTCTGTAAAAACCAAATATCTAATTTGGGATGTTGGGTCAATCGATCCAAACAATCTATGTTCAACACACTATGCAGTCTCTCTCTCTGTAGAAACTATTAACACTAGTGTCTTGAGTTGGAGTCATAAAATAGGTGTGGTCTGTCATCTTAGCTAACTTAAGACACAGATGACTCCAGTTGGCAGTGGGAGGTGATGGTAACAGCTTATTTTTCATTATACGTAGTACCACAAAGTCTGTTTTAAATGTGTGTAAGATTTGCAACGAATTAAAGCTTCCATCTTGGTAGCCAAATAATCACAGCTAATGGCACATAACTACAAAGTAGCTGGTTTCATTTCCAGCCGAGTAACTATTTCTGCTTTTCAAACCCGCCAGTCTGTGTCCAAAATCCAATTAAGCCATCCCATTAGAAAGAAAACTAATTAAAAAAAGCACCTTATTGCAATAGTTTTAGTGCCTACAAATAGGATGTGTGCAAACAAGTCTCTGATGATATGACCTCACCAAAAGATAAAAGGTAGAAAAAGTCTAAAAATGAGTCCAATGTTTTTTGTTTTTTGATGGTGGCTTTCCTCGCTGATATTACTTATTATATACTGAGATAGTTTGAATGTGTCTCAACTTCCTTAAAACGATTTTTACGAGGAAATACCTTGATTTCAATATTGTGCCGTTAGGGTTCACCGTTGATGCTTTTACAACATATTTACACAACGAGAATTTTGTTAACCATCGTTAGTAATGTGTATTTAATAAATACGCGGGGAAAAGACAGATAATACGACTGCCTGAAGAGTCTGGTAACTCAGAAAGTACCTCACTTTACTGCAATGCAACCAGGAAAAGACAACCCCACGATATCCAAATCTAGACTTATATCACGGTATCAATATAATATCGATAATCTGCAGCCCTAGTCACAATACTTTGGAGTTTTTGCGCTGTTGCAGTCATTATTTATCGCCACCACGTTGTAATGAACAGCTTTAAATGTGTCTGAAGCCAAATGGAAAGCCAAGTTATGAAGCGGACACATGAACAGCATGAATATGAAGACCAGCTGTCAGCAGCGGCTCCATTATATCTGTGTCTCTACGCAGCGAAGCAGCACGAGCGCAGTGTCCAGACGCAGCAGGTGAACGCTCCGTACCTCACTGCTGTCTGCTGCTTGGCACACACACATGAAGAGTGGTGATAAGCATAATCAGTTTTCACTTGGCTCACAGCCTTCCCCTTCTTCTTAAACCAAGACGTGACTTTGGAAGCCATGACGGGAAAAAACTTCAAGGAGATCTGGCCATGAGCACCAGAGAGGGGGGGGAGGAGGGAAGGGTTGGGGGTTAAACATGTGTTAGCCATGACAGTACCAAGTATATTTAACATTATGTAAACTGCAACCCTTTAAGAAGTCTCTGTGAATCACATTATTACAAGTACATGTGCAGATATTGCAGATACTGAAAGCACTTCGATATTCACAGAGTGTTGCTTCTCGTGGCATAAGATAAGATAAGATAAGATAAGATAAGATGGACTTTTATTAATCAGTAGTTTAACAGCAACAGGGTGAGATTGAAAAACAGGACAGCACAGATTTACAAATTAAAGATCAAATCAAAGATACAATTATATACAGTTAAGTAACTTTAAAATAAGAAAGGAATTAAATGACCATACATATTTGGGTCATATACACATATTATTTATTATATCATAAGTAATAAATAACCATTCTTTAAACACTGGTATTTAAAGAATACATTCATATTGCAAGCATGAATTTATCGCAGAAGAAGACCAACTTTTAGGAGACATCAGGACAACATAAGCCAAAGCTCAGCACTTCAAATGTTTCACCTTACAACCTCACACAGCTATGAATAGCTTGGAGCAGCCTGCCTATCCCATGATTGGAGAAATAAATTAAAAGAATAAATCAATTACCAGCAATGCAAAGACCTTAAATATGTCATTAATAACGAGGAAATTGGATGTGAAACTGATGAGAGAACAACGACTAAACAAGCTGTCGAATCCAAACTACAGAGGAATAATGTTTCTCTTGAGAATAATCATATATTTCAACAGTAGAGCATTTTTTTCATGTGTTTATTTAAGCAGATACGTTAAGGGAAAAGAGGGTCAGTCACTTCCTAATGCCCTGGTATGTTAGGAAGTACTGCTCTGGGAGATTATAGCAGATTGTTTCTCACACAGGAGACAGATTATCTATGACAGCAACTCATTTCACTTGACAGCTGATCACTTCTCCTGCTACTCTTTGCACATTTCTCCAATACAATTAGCCAACACAACAGCAATCATTAAGAAAAGACTTACCCCAAGAGATTAAAAGAGCGCAAAGCGGAGTTAGACCAGCCTGATGCCACTTGGGAAGCACTTGCTGATGGCAACACAAATATTACCCTCTCACTGGAAGAATGCTGTTCCCCTTCCACCCCATGTATGGACGCACTTAAGACTATATATAGCAATTACCCCCAAATGTTCTTCTCATTCTGCACTTTGGAGATGAAGAGTGTGCATCCGTTACCTGCACTTTTATTTAATTATTTAGAGGTGTGATCGATACACTGCAATTATTACATTTAAGGACTTATTTGTGACTTTTTAAATGAAAGGTCACGAGAGAATAAAAGGTAAAATGCTCATGGGGGCTGGATTTTGAAAAATGAAATATTGCTTCCTCACGACAATATCTCATTTTGGTGGAGTCCTTAAATCAATTTAAAAATGGCACATAGCCAAGCCTCCTAAAACCGGCATGAGGATTGATTTCCTTTGCTAACGAGATTCATAAAAGGCACTTCACCTTCAGATTTTATACAAAATATTCATTCAGCAACAAGCGAGAAAGACATTTTGATGTCATTTTGTTGGCAAATCCCGAAGCGGAAAGCCTTGCGAGACCTTTTTAGGTTTCTGGAGACAGCCGGCCCCTCCTTGGCTCGACACTTGTGGGCAGCAGTCGGGCTATTTTTACCAGCCAGTCCTCCTACACTGACACCCCCAAGTCTTACTGTACAGGAGCCATGCAGCTATTTCCATTCAGACAAGTCTATTTAAAAAGTGGCTGAAGACACACAGAGAGACTTATGAAGCAGAGTTGGTCAAACGCAGATGATTAAAGTGGATTTAAAAAAGAGGAAACAGGCGTTGAGTTTATGGCCCTGTAGTCGTTGTCGCTTCACTGAAAGGTCACCTCTGTCTAAAGGACAACTTTCCATGCTATTGTGCAGCATATTCTTTAATAAAACAAATAAATGCATTAAAAAAATCTAATTGTGCATTTGATTTTATAAATGTTACCCCTTTTAGCCTCAAATTTGGGATAAAGAAATGTCACTTTGTGACAACTCCTAGTGGTGGAATCAAGAAAGACACTGGTGCGCCCCAATGTACTGATAGGTGGCGAAAGAACACACAGGAAGTTACATTTAAAACTCTGTAAATATATATTTTACTTATTATATTTATCAGATTAGAGAAGAGAGGGTTTAGGAGGAGTTGTGAGAAGTTAAATAAAAGTTGAAACAAGTCCAAAAACGCTCCAAAATCAATCTGGATAAGAATAGTTGACTTTAATTTAATTTATCTTTTTCAAAAGAGAAAATAGATATTGTACTAGGTTAGTTGAAAGCAATAACATTAAGTTGAGATAAAAACATATTACATTGCTTTCAACTGACCTAATAAAATAACGTGGAAACTGTTGACCAAATAAATTAAAGTTAGCGCTTCATTTTTTGAGTGATATTCAAAATATGCAAATATGGGAAAGAAAGACATTGTGGTGACACTGATGACACCATGTGTACAGTTAGCACTGGTAAAGTGGCATATGAAGACACAGGAAGTTACATTTAAACCATACATTTGACTTTATTCACTCATTTAGAGAAGAGAAGGTTTAGGTGGAGGTTAAAGAGATTGTCACGATTTTAGTTTTGTCTGTCTTGTCATGGTTTTATTTTGAAATTCTGTTCTCCCTGTCTTGTCTTCCTTCCTGTGTCTGATTGTCTGATTGTGTTCACCTGTTGTGTTTCTGCCTCCCCTGCCCAGCTGTGTCTTGTCCTGTGATTACCCTTCTGTGTATTAAGGCCCAATCCCAAACCGCCCCCTACACACTACCCCTCCGTTTGTGCGTTCCCGCGGAGGGTCCGCCACATTAAGTGCTGTTCCAAACCAACGAGTGTGGAGGGGGAGTGGAGGGGGAGTGGGCTATCAAGCCCTCAAACAGCGAGTCTGCAGCGGTGCTGACTGGAGACCGGTCTCTACCTGACCGGAGTCACGCTGTGTGTGTCCGTCAGGAAACACGCTGTTAACAAACAGTTCCAGCAAACATCCACTGATAAACTGCGATGTTAACAACCTCATGATAACCTCATCTTTGTTTAACTTAGGATCGTACCTGTGTTTAGTCTAGAAAAAGGTAAATGTGTGCATTTTTTTTTTAACACAATTAAAGATGTTTGGAGTTTTATTTTAGTTATTAATTAAAAAAAATTGGCATTTCCTGTTTCTGCCGGAGAGAGGGGAGTTTGTCCCAAAGCTTGCCGCTGTATTTACTCCCTCCATCTGACAGGAGGGAGCCTCGTTGAGCTGAGAGTCACTCCAAGGAGTTCACTCCATCAGCGTGGTTTGGGATTGGGCCTAAATAGTCTTGTCTTCCCCTGTGCTCCATGTTGGTTCGTTGTCTTTTCTCACCCTCCATGTTTGTCACGTTCCAGGTTAGTTTTTGTCCTCATGCTACGTGTTTTGACTTATGATTTTGTTTTGTTTGCCATGTCAACAGCTTTGATTAATAAAGCTCGCTTTTGTTTTGAAACCCGCTTCTCCTCAAACTGCATTTGAGTCCTAACAATCCCGAATCCTGACAAAACACTTGTTAAATGAAAAGAGGTGACACTAGAAGGCGTGTTCAAAATGTGGTAAAATGGTCAAGTTGGTAATTAAAAACAGTGCAAACATGAGGAAGAGACACAAACCATACATTTCACTTACTTCAATTATTATTTGGAGTTTGGTGATTATAAAATGAAAGCTAAAGTTCCCTTACACCGTTTCCCTTAAAGCAATGCTAAAATGTTCTTTACATTAACACAATTACAAAAACTGCAATAAAACAAATAAAAACGCCAACAAAAAAGAATAATAAGAAATTACAAATAAGAAAAAGTTACAAATTCAAGCTTTCCCTCGATGCATTGATTGAAAGGGAAATTAACACGTCATAAATGCATAAACATAATTCAAGTAATGTAGTGTTTTAAATATTTTCTAAATGTATATTTTCAAAGCTTTAAGCGCCACAAAGCAACATCCCATTTGAAACTTGAACTACTGTATATTCACTAGTTTAGAGAACAGAGGGTTGGAGATACTGTATATGGAAAAAAGTGTGAAAGAAGAAACTGTTCAAAATCAATTAGCTAATGAGTGCAAACATGAGGAAGAGACACAAGCTACGAGGTAATGTATGACTTACTGAAAGTGTCCTGATGAACCGACTCCAGAGGATCACCTGTAAAACCAGAGGTATCTCCTACAGAGAAACAACATGGTTACTTTACACTCATTTCATCTCAACATGCAATAAAAAACAACTGTGTGTTAATACGCTCTTCTTACATTACATTACATGTCACTTGTTAGACGCTTACATACTCAATACTGTGGACAATCACCACAGGAGCAATTTGGGGTGAAGTGTCTTGCCCAGGGACACAACGACATGCTGACTGCAGTGGGGTTTGAACCTGTGCTCCCCTGATCTCAACACCAACGCACAACCCACTGCGCCACACGCCTCACTACTTCTTACTCTACTTTAACTGGACACCATGGATTACTGGAGGTTTCATTTGCTGAGGAACACTAACTATGACCAGTAAATGGTGCATCAGGTGTAAAGTCAGTGGAGTGGCCCTTTAAATCCACATTAGAGTTATTGTCTGTTAAACAGCGCCACCTGGTGTTGATGAGGAAAATCAGCTGATGTGGAAAAATCTCTTTTGCTTTGACATTGTTTTGGTTCCTCTCTCTTACTCATAAAGATGATAGGAAACAGGGACATAGACGAGCGTTAGAAATGTGTGATTATAATAATAAAGAGAAAATGTCCTTACACTGTTTCCCTTAAAGCTCAAATGTTATTTACATCAGCAAAATTACAAAAACTACAATAAAACAAATAAAAAACGCCAACAACAAATAATAATAAGACATTAAAAATTTGAAAAAGTTACACATTCAAGCTTTCCCCCAATGCATTGATTGAAAGGGAAATTAACACGTCAAATATGCATGAAAATAATAAAAGTATAGTGTTTTCAATATTTTGACATTTCTAAATGTATTTTCAAAGCTTTGAGCACCACAAAGCTAAATCCTTTGTTCTCATACTGGGAGGAATATAGCAGTGTGTTTCTTTATCCTTTGACCCAGGACAGCAATCTGAATTAAATGGCTTTAGAGGGATCTTTAGCACCATGACCTATGGATTCAAAAAGTCCTAACAAAGTAGAAAATGACCTCTAAAAACGAAACATTAGCAGCGATTTTGTTGAAGCGCTGCTGTTTTGTTGGATAAACAGTTCTCTCAACTTTAGCCAACCCGTGTGTGTGTGTGTGTGTGTGTGTGTGTGTGTGTGTGTGTGTGTGTGTGTGTGTGTGTGTGTGTGTATGTGTGTGTGTGTGTGTGTGTGTTGAATTCCTCCCTCTGGCCCCTGCACACAGCATGTTTGCAGTGACAATAATAGAATAAAGGCAGACAACAGATAAAAGGTCGTATTTTCACTCACATGCATATTCAAAGCTCCATACCTGCTTTTAAATACATAGTTGTTATCATCCCATCAGACTTTAAAAATAATAACAACTTAAATAAATATAATAATGATAATAATAATACTTATTTCTATTAAAAATAGCTTAATTAAATAAATCCATTTACACACACATACATATTCACACTTACACTCTTGTACACCAAAACATCCATATATTTTCAACATCCCATCAGACTTATAATTTTTCAATAGATAATAGTTAGAAAATAATTAGAAATTATATATTTTATTTTATAAATGAAATAATATTTAAAAAAATGTAAACACAAGTTGTTTAGGATAATAATAATAATAATACAACTTAACTTGTGTGTGTGTGTGTGTGTGTGTGTGTGTGTGTGTGTGTGTGTGTGTGTGTGTGTGTGTGTGTGTGTGTGTGTTGAATTCCTCCCTCTGGCCCCTGCACACAGTTTGCAGTGACAATAAAGGAGATTATTGGAGCATGATAACATGATGAACAGGACTAGCCCGATTCTGAGGGGCCTCGTCTGAGCAGAGCCACATTCTGCTGGACTGTTTGATAATATAAACAGCTGCATCTGATAACATGCACCATGTCTGTATATTTATTTATG